AGTTTGGGAACTAGAATGGACTGAACCTGGTGGTGTGGGGAGGGAAAGACAGAGTGTGGAGAGGTTGTTTGGGTGTGGGATGTGGAACTCAGAGACAGTTCTCAGAAAACTGTGAAGTAAAGCTGGGAATGAGGCAGCAAAGAGCACAAGAAGAGTGGCAGTGGCCCCTTCTTTTACAGGCACTGTTCTATAAAGGTGGCCCCTGTTGGGACAGTGCATGAAACCCACTTGTTGTCCATCAGGTCACTCGAGTTCTTGGTGTTGGATAGAGCTTTGTTAGCACTTGGTCAGCATTCACACAGGGTCCAGCAAACCTCCCCCAGAACCTCCTCATAATTACAGCTGCAGAAGACAGATTCTTCTCATAAACACCACTGGGTGTTTACCTTTTCCTCCACCTCCTCCTCCCACTTACAGAGGATGTGAAGTTTCCCGCAGCAGGGGCCAAATACCAAATATATACTCCCCTGCCAGGGCCAAGCTGCTCGAAAGAGGCCAAGAAAGCAAAGATAATTGCAGTGTCCTTGGGTCAACTATCTGCATCCAGGTGGTCAATGTTTAATCCTGATCGTTAGCACCCTCTGTTGTGTCAAAACAAAAATTCCTTATGTAATGGGGTAATTATGCAAGGCTTCAGTTTACAAAATTACAGGAAAAGGGCATAGCTCAGGGAACTGTGTGGAAGTCTTCATACACAGACGTGGATGGGGTTGGCCTGACTCTGAGGACATTTTAATGTGGGCAGGTGAAGGGGAGGCCTGGGGAATACTCTACCTTGTTCTAGAAAGGGGGAAGTTGCCTGTTATCCGTGATAGCCAGGCAGGCATCCTATCCAGGGTGTAGCAGGCTTGTCACTGCTTCAACCTCAGATCCACAAGGCCACTTTGGGGAGCCAGGAGTGCTGCACAGGAATGTGTGCATGGGAGTTCCCGGAACTAGCTGGGAAGGATGGGAGATTTCTGAGGCTCCATCGCCAATGGGCTGTGGTTAAGCAACAGAAGCTCGTCTTTGTGATTCCTGGTGGGTCATGGAAGAACACACAGCGTGATGAGATCACAGGTACAGGTTAGACAGGAGCATGATTCTCCTGGCTTACCCGCCACCTTTGTATCGGGCTTGCCTTTGTTTTAATGGCGGACACAGTAGGTACAGTCTGAGGAGCTGAAGCCTCACTTTCTTCACCAGTTCTCCTTGGGGCCGACCAGCAAGATGGCAGGTCAGCTAGGGTTGGGGGAAAGTCAGTGTTGAAGGTTACCTTCTGGGCATTAGATCTTCAGAGCTCAAACTGTCCTCATGGTCTGAGCTCCCCGCCCCCTTTGACTTATGCTCCACCAGGCTACAAAGTCTTGACCTCATGGTAAACCCTTGATGTAGACGAACCTGCTTTATTCTCGGGACCCCTGCTGTATTAGCGCCCTGGAAGTCAGTGCACCAGCTTAGGGCAGCAGCAGCCTTCAGCAGTCACAGAGACACGGAAGACTTTCCTCACAAGGGCGCGTGCCAACCTGCTCAGGATACTGTGAAGGGTTATGGGGAAAGTCTGCTTTGGATGTGTCAGGAAAAGGGGGATCCTTGCAATGTATTTGTTTCGGGCAATTAATTCATTGTAGAAGATTTACTTCCCAGATTTCCTGCCACCAGCATCACACTCCAGTTAATCCTGTGTATACAAAATAAAGAGCTAAAAGAAATGGAAATTTAAAAGTTTAAAGCTAAAATGGTGGTACGGACGCTCTCTGGGATCTTATAAATCAGTGTTCAGAGAACTGGCACCAATCAGAAGGTAACTGAGACCCAGACAGTGCCTTTGTCACGTGTCGAAAGCAAAGAACAGGCTCAGCGTCTTTCAGAAATCATAGCCCTGCAGATCTCTTCTCTTCAAGGATTAAAGAAAATATTACCTGTTCTGCATTTACGACCAGGAAAAAAATAGGATTTTCTTGTCTTTTGTCTGCACACCCAGCCTGCGGCAGAGTCATTCACCAAAGCAAGCTTTCCTGTGTTTTATAGTCTGTTTGGGAGTGGTCTCTCTCTCTTATTTATGCGAGCATCTTGGTTCTGAGGCCCTTTTTCTATTTTGTCAAGTTCACTGCTTACAAGAGACAGTGAAAAATTAGGGGCTGGCTCCTCCTGGTGTTTGGTTAGAAAACTACACCTCCATGTCTGAGGGTTCTCTGGTCCAAGCGGTTTGCTCTCTAGTTTGTAGAAACACACTTTAATCTTTTTTTTTTTTTTTTTTTTTTTTTTGACAGGCAGAGTGGACAGTGAGAGAGAGACAGAGAGAAAGGTCTTCCTTCCTTTGGTTCACCCCCCAATGGCTGCCGAGGCCGGCACGCTGCACCGCGTGCTGATCCGAAGCCAGGAGCCAGGTGCTTCCTCCTGGTCTCCCATGGGGTGCAGGGCCCAAGCACTTGGGCCATCCTCCACTGCCCTCCCGGGCCACAGCAGAGAGCTGGACTGGAAGAGGAGCAACCGGGAAAGAATCCGGCGCCCCAACTGGGACTAGAACCCGGTGTGCCGGCGCCGCAGGCGGAGGATTAGCCTATTGAGCCACGTCGCCAGTCAGAAGCACAGTTTTAAAAAAATTATTAAAACTACTTGAACAGCAAAATAACAAAACTACCCAAAATGACCAATTAACGTACTCACTAAGGACTGTGTGTACTATTGTTTTAGTGTCTACTGCTATGGAATGAATCTTCTCAAACACTGGGGCTTCAAAGGACAAGTATCCATTTGTCTCCCACAGTGTCAGGGGCTGGAAGTTTGGGAGCTGTTTGGTTGGGAGGCTCTGGCCGGCTCTGGCCAGGGTTCTCTCTCTCACGAGGTTGCAGTCAGTGTATGGGGTCAGGGCAAAGCTTTGTTCATTCACAGGTCTCATTGCAGGGCTGCTAACACTGGACCTCCTTTGGTAGGAACCTCTCGGGCCTCTTTCTACCTCTGTGTAGCTCCTCTGAACAGTTTCTCCAGTGTGGCCAGACTTCCTCCATCTTGGTCCGGGACATCCAAGGTGGTGTCCCGAGAAAGCAAGCCAGGAAGACGCAGTATTGCTTTTCATGTCACAGCCTCGCAAGTCAAAAAGGGTTACTTCCTCTGGGTTCTGTTGATGGAGGCAGCTGCAAAAGCCCACTCGGGTTCATGGGGCGTGAGCTTTACCACCACCCCTCAGTGTCACATCAGAAGAACATGTGGGAGGGCACCTACGTGTGTGTGGTATCATTATAAAAGTACAGTAAATCACCACTCTTTCAGTTCATTCCCCCCCAAACCATATGAGGTTGCTACGGTCATTATCCCAATTTCTCAGTTAAGTGAACGCGGTCAAGAGGTATTAAAAGTGTTGTCCAAATGCCCTTTCAGTACCACACGATGTCATCTCTACTGTTTTCAACCTCGGCCAGTTGACATTCTGGGCCAGGTGTTCTTTGCTGGGGAGCTGTCCTGTGTGCTGTAGATTTAGCACCATCCTTGGCTTCTAACCCCAGATACCAGCAGCACCCTTCGTCCTCTTGGTTGAATCACCAAAGATGTTGCTCAACATTGTCCAATATGGAGGAACGTCCAAAAGTTCGTGAAAATGTAATTAAAAGATAAGCTGATTTTGATGCAAAAGAAGAAGAAGAAGAAGAAGAAATCGTGCCTTTCAGAGATATTGAGAAATTCATGAAAAAATGTGGACGGTGAAAAACTATGCCTGTATTTCAAAGTTTTTTGCAGCAAATCAGCTTATCTTTTAATTCTATCTTTCTATGAAAGTTTTGAAGCATTATTAAGTCTCCAGGAGACGAATTTGTCCCCAGTTGACGACCACTATTTTTGGGAAAGGAAGTGGTGTCTGATTATTTACTGTCAACCAAGGAGAAACTCTGTAAAGTTACTGTTATGTTGTAGGTGATCCTTATGTTGCAACTTACCTATGTCCAGTTTAAAATGTTAATTCTATAGGTTATAATCTTATTGTTTTTTTTTCCAGGCAGAGTTAGACAGTGAGAGAGAGAGAAAGGTCTTCCTTCCGTTGATTCACCCCCTAATGGCTGCTACAGCTGGTGCTGCACCAATCCAAAGCCAGGAGCCAGGTGCTTCCTCCCGGTCTCCCATGCAGCTGCAGGGACCCAAGCACTTGGACCATCATCCACTGCCCTCCCGGGCCACAGAAGAGAGCTGGACTGGAAGAGGAGCAACCGGGACAGAACCCGGTGCCTCGACCGGGACTAGAACCTGGGGTGCTGGTGCAGCAGGCGGAGGATTAGCCTAGTGAGCCGCGGTGCCGGCCATAACCTTACTGCTTCATAGAGCATTCACCAGTTTCCAGCCACCTGCATCTTACTCACTTACTATATGTCACAGTTTTTTCTCTCCTTCTCTGAACTGTCATTGTCATCACGTTGGTCCCCTCATTAATAGCTTAAGGGAATCAGTGCCATGTATGTGAACACACACACATACACACACACACACACATCTTGGCAGAAAGCAGAGTGAGACTTCTTTCCAAAGGATAGGTAGGGCAGCTGCTCAGATCCCTTCACAAAAGAACCTGCAGATCAGTCATCAAGGTACCTTTAGGTGACAGCCATGGCTGCAGTGCCTCTAGTCACTCATAGCACTTGAACTAAGGTCACACTTTTCCAATGAATGAGCACAGGGCCTGGCCATTTCTGTTCATCTCCACTAATAGGCAGTCTATTAGAGCTCCATCAGAACTCCTCTAGTAGGCAGTCTTGCTCTGGAGCTCCCTGTTGGGGTAGTTGGAACCTTCATAAGGTGGCACTGTTCTTCCTCACCTTTCATAGATGATGAACGTGTATCAGGGCCTGCACCTGCCACAGAACTGTTTCACACTTCAGGCCCCACGCAAAGCTGGCAGCCAACCTGTCAGCCGGTGTGGGGCTGGAACAACATATTCAGCTGCAGCATAAGCTCCTTCCACAACTCAGAGAAGTCTTCCAGGTGTTGTGATTCCGTCTTTGAGGTAGGGCAAATGAAATGGAGCCACTTACCTTGTCCACTGGAGGCGCTATCTCTGCATGACCCTGATCACTGGGTTCCTGGAAGACATCACGGGGAGGCAGGTTCCTGGTTCTCAGTTCATCTTCTCTTAGCAAGGCCTGCAGCACAGCAGTCAGCTCTTCCTATGTATGACAAGCATGACGTCATAATGTGAGGGATGAGTCTGATGATCCTGGGTTCTAGACCACTCAGACTCAGAGGTTGCCTGAGTCACAGTAGCTCTAAGGCAAACCAAGAAATGAATATTGTGGCCTCTCCCACATGAATGCTAACTGTTCCCAATCTTTCCTAATCTGGATAGAAAAAGCTACATTTACCAAGTCATTGACCACATACCACGAACTTGAGGCCTACTGAATGAGCTCTAGCCATTGTCCCACCTCTGACACAGCAGCTACCATCAAGACTACTACACGGTTAAACTTGAAGTCACATGTTGTCAGTTCCCAGGGCCCTTCTAGTTCCTACAGGGGGAAACTGGCCATTATAAAGAGATGTGAAAAGCACCCCCAGTCTGTATTGATTAACTTGGCAGGGGGATGGTTTTATGTATTCCCATTTGTTCTTCCCCACCATAATAACACTCAATGATTTTTAAAAAAATTATTTATTTGAAAGTCAGAGTGATAGAGAGAGGGAGAGGGGTCTGTATCTGCTGGTTCACTCCCTAAATGGCTCTAACAACTAGGACTGAAGCCAGGAGCCCAGGACTCCATCCAGGTCTCCCGCATGGGTGACAGGGGCCCAAGCACTTGGGACATCTTCCACTCACTGCCTTCCCAGGTACATTAGCAAAGAGTTGGGTTGGAAGCAGAGCAGCTGGGACCCAAACTGTTGCTCCCACATGAGATGCTGGCACCTCCAGAAGCAGCTTAACCTGCTTCATCACAGCACGGGCCCCAGCACTTATTTCATAGACCAAAGAACCGATGTGAAAGTTACTCCATCTGTTGAATACACCCATCCCAATTATACATGGAACTAGGGAAATAATCCCTGGGACATTTCATGACCATGACTGCTGCTCTAACAAGAGGTCCATGGTGCTTTAGGTCTCTAGGTACCAAAGTCAGTGCAGCACCTGTGTGCATCAGTCTGGGTGCCTCCCTTCCCTAGTGCTTAGTCACTCAAGTAAATGGCCACAGGTCCTTCTGGAGAAGAATATCATAGTAGATACTTGTTACAATGCTGCAGGGCACTTCTTAGAGACGTGGTGTGGTGTGTGGTCCTCTAAAATCAGTGGCTTTGGGGTCTGATAATTGGCTCAGGTCCAGGAACTGAGCAAGGCATCATGACTTCTTATTGGGATGACTGACATCAGCCTCCTGCTCCTCTGTGTTTGCTCCTCTGTTTGTTGTTGTTGATGTTGGGCAATACTATTTTTGGTTCTCACCTATTCTTTTAAGTTACTATTTTAGAATTTTGGATTAATATGTAATACTTGTACATTTTCCTGGGGTATCGTGCAATCTGCCACCACATATTCACAACATAAACTCATCATACACACAGTTAGCCTTTCTAGTTCCTTGTCTTTTATTTGTGTTTGAAGCCTACCTGCTCATCTCTTCTTGTTCGTTTCTTTCTCTCTCTCTCTCCCCCTTCCCCCCTTATCTTTCTCCCTAAATTATTTATTTGAGAGTCAGAGTTACAGAGAGAGAGAGAGAGTCGGAGAGATCTATCTGTTGTTTCACTTCCCAGATGACTGCAATGGCCAGGGCTGGGCCAGGTGGAATCCAGGAGCATGGAACACAGTCCAGTTCTCCCATATGGGTGTGGTACATTAGCATGGAGGTGGATCAGAACTGGAGCAGTTGGGACTCAAACTGCACTCACATGGAATGCTGGCATTGCAGGTGGTGGAAGGGTTAAGCCACCTGCAATGCCACCACAATGCCATCCCCAGTTCTTTCTATAGAACATAATACATTGTCATGAACTATGCTCACTCTACCATGCTGTGGAACAGCAAAAACTCATTTCCTTTACTCAACTGCATTTTGGTACCCATTATCAAACCTCTCACACCCACCTTCCCCCTACCCTTCCCAGCCATTCAGATTGACTGTATATAATCTTAACTTCCACATATGAGAGAGAATATGTACTATTTGCCTTTCTTTGTCTGGCTTATTTCACTTAACATAATGACTTCCAAGTTCTCTTTAACAAAGGCACCAAAAACATACCGTCTAGAAAGGACAGTCTCTTCAATAAGTGGCCCTGGGAAAACATACGCAGAAGATTAAACTTTGAATTCCTGTCCTCTGCTCCCCACTCACCACCTCTCACCCTGTACAAAAATGAACTCAAAATAGATAAAAGTTCTAAATGTAGGACCTAAAATTATGAAACTACTAGAAGAAAATACAGGGGAGACACATCAAAATGTGCATAAACAGAATTTTTGAAGATTAAGACCCCAAAAGCACAGTCAACAAAAGCAAAAATTGACAAATAGGATTGTATCAAAATAAGAAGCTTAGCTCAGTGAAGGAAACAATCAATGAGTGAAGAGACTGACAGAACGGGAGAAACTTTGCAAACCGCTCGTCTGATATCGGAGTGATGCCTGTGTCTATTTTGTCTCTGGGGATGCTATGCTCCGTTATCGATCTCTCCAACTCCTTAAATTCAAGCGCCCTTCCATGTCTCTCTGACCTTCCTGGTTGTCACAGCCCAGTGCACTCTGGGCTGCTGGCTGCTGAGTGCTGCTGCCTGGTCTCTGTTATTTGGGGGCCTTACCATGTATATGAATAGTGATGACCTTGCTGTGTGACAACAGCCACTGAAGGTCACTGGTCACATCACCCTGATGTAAATGGGTGGATGGGTCTTCCTGGGGAACCCACTCCTGTCGTGGTGTTCTTGCCTCACATGGTATGTCTGTTTGCATACATCTTGTCTTTGTATTCCTTCCTCTTCCATCTACCAGGGAAATTCAGGCATTTTCATGCAGTCACTGGGGAGGAGTAGCTGGCAGGAAGTGTGGCTTCAGCATGAAGGCTGTGGTGCATCCCATGGGCAGCGGCTCGAACCACGGGTCAGTTATGCTTCCTGAACAAGAGACCCACATGACATATATATAAAAACATGACATCGTCTTTTTCTTTTTAAATTTCAGAACAACCCTTGTTGGAACATTAGTCAAAAGTAGCAAACTATTCTCTAGGTACTCTTATTTTAATAAAACTAAAGAGTTAATATTTGTCGAGCATTTATTATACGTCAGGTACATATTGAGTGCATGGTGTTACATTATCTCATTATGTAATTATTATTACTGCCAAGTCCACTTTACAGATGAGCAAATGGAATGTAGCATAACTAAGGAAATAGCAAATTTAAGTGAGTGAAAGAGGTGGAATTGGAACCAGATGTACCCAAGCCCGCAGATGCAGGCATTTTTTTTCATTTACTGTATCATCAGTGTTTCTTACTTTTCAACAGAGATATTTCCATATATCTTATTAGATTTATAGATAAACATTTCATGACTTTATTTTATTATAAATAACCCTGGTTTTTAATTCCATTTTTCAATTGTCCATTGCTGGGGCATAGAAATATAATTGATTTTTAATAATGACCTTGTATCTTGAGATCTTGCTAATAAATTAACATTTTTATAAAGTTCTTTACGGATTCTATGGAATTGTCTGTGTGTACAATACGTCTTTTGCAAGTTGAAATAGTTTCATTTCTTCCCAATCTTTATGTCATTTTATTTCCCTATTGTGCTAGCCAAGAATTCTACAATGATGCTTATTAGGAATGGTAAGGGTAGCTAACTTACATTTGTTTCAGTATGAGGAGGAAAGTTTTTAATATTTGACCATTAAGGATAAAAATTTTAGGTTTGTTGTATATGCACAGTTATATACATTTTTGATTTCTGAGCATTTTCATTTTTTAAAAACATCACATGTATATTAAAGTTTGCCAGGTATATTTTTCTTCTATTGATATAATCATAAACTCTTTCCTCCTTGGTCTGCTAAAACTGAATATTGAATTACTGAATATTGAATTACATTTTTTTATTGAATCAACTAACTTCCTATTCCTAAGAGAAACTCTACTTGGCTATCACATAGTGAAGGAGTTTATTTTATTTTATTTTATTTTTTTAAAATTTTGGAGCTATACTCATTAGGGATATTGATCTGTATTTTTTTTCTTACAATGGTTTGTCTGATTTTTCTGTCAGGGTCAAGTTATCCTGATAAATGGCAGAGAAGTGTTCTCTTCTGTCTGAAGACTTTGTGTAGAATTTGTATTATTTGTTCCTTAATTTGGTAGCATTTATTTATTTATTTAACTTTTATTTAGTAAATATAAATTTCCAAATTACAGTTTGTGGATTACAATGGCTCCCCCCCCATAACTTCCCTCCCACCTGCAACCCTCCCCTCTCCCGCTCCCTCTCCCATTCCATTCACATCAAGATTCATCTTCAATCTTCTTTATATACAGAAGATCGATTTAGTATATATTAAGTAAAGATTTCAACAGTTCACACCTACACTGAAACACAAAGTGAAGCTACTGTTTGAGTACTAGTTATAGCATTAATTCACATTGGACAACACATTAAGGACAGAGATCCTACATGGGGAGTAAGTACACAGTGACTGCTGTTGTTGACTTAACAAATTGACACTCCTGTTTATGACATCAGTACTCCCCCTAGGCTCTTGTCATGAGTTGCCAAGGCTATGGAAGCATTTTTTTTTTTTTTTGACAGGCAGAGTGGACAGTGAGAGAGAGAGAGACAGAGAGAAAGGTCTTCCTTTTGCCGTTGGTTCACCCTCCAATGGCCGCCGCGGCCGGTGCGCTGCGGCCGGCGCACCGCGCTGATCCGATGGCAGGAGCCAGGAGCCAGATGCTTTTCCTGGTCTCCCATGGGGTGCAGGGCCCAAGCACCTGGGCCATCCTCCACTGCACTCCCTGGCCACAGCAGAGGGCTGGCCTGGAAGAGGGGCAACCGGGACAGAATCCGGCGCCCCTACCGGGACTAGAACCCGGTGTGCCGGCGCCGCTAGGCGGAGGATTAGCCTAGTGAGCCGCGGCGCCAGCTATGGAAGCATTTTGAGTTCACCGACTCTGATCTTATTTAGAC